CTAAGTGACACTGCCTGTTGTTCTTTGTCACGTTGTTTTCTAATCACATGCCAAATTCTGCACATTTTGAAACTGTGAGTGCTCATGCTGACATTAACAGGAATTTCCCCAGGAGGAAGGCAAGATGTAATCAGTTCTCCATAGCTGACCACCCATTCCAGCATTTTTTAACTGCTTGAAGCCTTTGACCATAACCTACATCTGCTCTGACTGGTTCTGCCCTTCCAACAAATTCGTGGTTGTCAGTGGTGCTGACAGCACTTGACACAATTCTTTGTAGACCACACCAAAATAAGGAGAGGACACATTCTCTTTTATTTGAGCAAAGACAAGATTTGACATTTGTTTTGCTTATGCAAGGGAGATAGCCTGCTTTTCTTAAGGTTTTAGTGAGTATAAGTAAGGAATTCTAGAAGCTGGTGTACAAAAGAAATGTCAAGATGCTTCACCCCTGTTTACAGTACTGACTGATTGCTGATGTATGCTACTTTTCCTTTGACAGCAGAATGCAAAGTTAACACAGTCAGTGCACAATGGTTATGACAACACTCCTTTTCTCTACATCCTTCAGTAGCTCCCACTACCCTCTTCCTCCCTTTTCACAAATACTCTTAAACAGCACTGATTCTAAAATGGATGGGAAGGATGGTTTGGTGATTAAAACACTGTGGTAGGACTTGGAAAACTATCATTTAATTCGGAGCTCTACAACAGGTTCCAGTGTGATCACAGGTATGTTAATTAATCTCTGGTGTCTTAATTTCCTCCCTGTAAAAGGGGATGATGGCAAGCTGGTGTATAACTTTGAACAGATACTCTCCGAAGATATCTTGAAATGTGCAGTGGCTACTATGAAGGAACTCAGATCCCAAATGAAGCTGCCCACACAGCGTAGGATTTGAAGTGTGAGAAGAAGAATTTATGAACCAGATCAGTGGTTTAACCATCGATAGCTGAATGACGCAGTGTAGTCATACATTCGATATTCCCTTCACTGCAGCTCCCTTCTAACAGTGATATAAGCATATATTTTTTACAGACTCCAAAACTTATTGTTAAAAACCAGCTCATTAATGCTCCATAAACCTGCAATGATAGGAAATTGATGTTGGCCTATAGAAACACATTAATTTTCGCTTGATTGCTAAATGATCCATTCAATTGCCTAAGATTCGTGACAACTAAGGTTCTACATTTGTAAGGATAAAATTATGTTTATATAATTGACTGTATAGATTATTCACAGAAACTGTAGAGAAAATGCTGCAATTTTTTATGTCTTTGAACTCTGGAGAAACAGCTTGTTCTTTTTCACAGGTGTTACGGTCTTGAAAATCACAGTGCAACTTCATTTTAAACTGGCTAAAATCCGAATGGAAATTATTGCTTTGACTGATGTCTGTCTCATGCAGAGAATTAGAAAGAGAAAAACACAGGTTATAAAAAGTCCACTTTGTGCCATATCTAACTACTTAAGGACTCTGCTGGTACACAGAAAAATGAAATTCCTCTTAAAGAAAGCTACTATTCCTTTTTCCAATTACTAAAGCACGTGTTTCTGCACACACTTGTTTGTGTGTCTGGGTTTCATATTTATAAAAATGAGTCACAGCACATGAAGCGATTATATGATCAACACTCTGCAAAAGGTGAAGGAGAAACAGACACATGGCCTCATGTACTCATGTATAATATTACTTGTAATTCCTTTTGGGTAAATGTATACCCTGTACTCCTAAAAGTGCAAGGGAATTGTGTAAAACATACAGGGGTCTGAATAGCTCATCTTGCCATTGTTAGTAGTTTCATGTGTGTTTTCTCCTCATTTTCTGCCAGCTCGTTTGGGACAGCTTCATACACACACCAGCCTAGGTTTCTGCTCCCCCTACTGAGCTGATCAGCCTCAGGAGATCTGACTCAAGCTCGGGCTCTGTGAATCTGGGGCAGAGCATCATAGTACCATGGGAATAATGGTTAGAAGAGCCTTACGCTTCCAAGGTCCAAAAATGTAATTTAACTGCTTAAAATTACTTGTTAATTATTAATTCCTAATAATTAACACATTTGGAGGACTCCTGGATGCCACGGTTAAGTTTAAGTGTCAGGCTCAATGCTGTATAAATAAAATACCTGAATTCAAACAAAGTTACTTTGACTTTTCTCCTTTGTTCAAATAGAAACAATGGCTCGTAACATTTTTTTTTTCTCCAGAACTTTCACATTTCCATTGCAACAGGAATTCTTTTTGATTGCTGGGACACTCTTCTGAAACCTAGTCACTGGCACGTTCAGCTGCATACCTTATGCTCTTTCCAGACTCATTAGATGATCTTTCTAGGAAGTGTGGCTTCTGCTGAGAGTAAGAAATGTAAACATCCTCCTAGGCAGACACTTGGGATAGCCAAGGAATCCTTGTTTTCACAGTAGTTTCATAAATCATGCAGTTCTCATGACTCCTAAAGCATCTCTGCTTAAATTTTATCTCCACAAGAACACTTAGGATGATGAACTATATCACCCATATGCCTGATCTTGAAACATCTCTGCCTAATCTGCACTTTGTGTCTACAGTTCTTAACCTGCAGTGCAACACTACAGATACTTGTGAAATGGTGCACTTAATTTATAGGAAATAACAGCAAATTATTTACAGTGTTTTATCTGCAGTACATTTATTCTTAAAATGAAACAAAGCATTGCACATTGTATTTTCTTCTGCCTTTTCAGAACTAATCCTTGTAGCTATTTGAGTTTTTCTCTTTAATTTTATAGATTTTTGAATGTCTCCATCACTACCGAGTGACCTGAATTTTCTTTTTAGCCTACCACTGAAACGTGTGGTATCCAACACGGATCACACATTTGGAAAAATCCAACACAGATCACACATTTGGAAAACAAAGTTACACCTCTCTAAGTGTATGGATTGAGAAGAGGTAAGAAAATATATGGCATCAGAATGTGTATCTGTCAAAGTTCTGATAACTGTCAAGGTTCTAAAAGAACACCACATTTAGTAACTAGCAATAGCAATAGTGGGAGATGGTTGTGGGAGAAAATTGTACACGAAAAGAAGAAAACACTGTGGTCTTGTACTAGACAGAAAATTAGATTTGTCCTCCCATTATTCTAGTAGGCTGGCAAAAAACCTTAATTTATTTTGTTTATGCAAATTATATTTGTTTATGCAAATGATAACCAGAGGCCTATTTTTGTAGGCATATTATACTGCTCAAATGAATTTGCACATCAACCCCAACAGCAGCAATTGTATCTCCATTGTGCTACTGCCCTACTTAATGCTTCAGAAGACGTAAGTTCTGATGCACATTTTCATTGTGCATTTAAATTTTGAGTTTTTTTCAAGGGATAAAACTTATTTTACCGAGACAGACATTTCTGGAGCTAACCTGTCAGAAAAAAGACTTAGATCATACACAGAACCTTTTACTGAAGATAAATATAAAATGACAAAGGTGATTTGCATTTCCCTGGTGGGCTACTGACAAAAATTGTATTGGGTCCTCATTTTCTCTGACTGAGAGTTAGAAAGTGACTCTCACTTTCTAACTGACTGTTATGGCTTCTATGACCTCCAGGCACCTCGTACTCAGCGTGGGCTTCTAAATTAACAGAAGCTGCACAAAACAATACAGTCCTGCTTAGTTCTGTAAGATAAATACCTTCCTAAGAAAGCATTTTAGAAACACAGATAATGTTTCCCTCTGATATATTGTCTAGGAACTTGTTATTGTGGCTAACTCAGCTGAATTAATTCTATGTCCTCTTCATATTTTCAAGGAGGTGAGATTCTACTCCTCACGCACATTTGTACCAGTATCATCTCTCTGTCAAATTAATGTTCTTAGAAAACTTCCCATGGCCTTTCTTTCTGTTATTAGAGCACTGTTTTAATAAAGTGACTAATACAAAATACTGATTTTGAAATTATTGTATAAAAGAGCACTGAAAAAAGAAAAACACAGTTGAGTATGAGGAGTCAAAAGACAAAGGTAAGGGAGTTTTGATTGTAATGTGTTATGATCTTGAACTTGTTCTCTTGCTCTTGTCTAATGAAGATCTCATGTGATACATTTTTCTGAATCTTTGTGGGCAAGGGTTACGTTTGCCTTCTTGACTTGGGAGTATTTTGCTGGAGCAACTGCATCTCACCATTGCCTTTGAGCTATCTTTGTTTCCAAGTCCATTGCACCTTGCTCAGAGCAATAGCCGACCGCAGGTCTCTGGTACGTGGTTCCCACTATGCATACACTGTGGCAAAACAAGCTTTCATTTTTCCACCTTTTTGAATTTCATTTTAAAATGGGGCTTTCCGTGCAGCAAGTGTGCTACCTTGCATGTAACTATCAAACAGATAAGTAACATATGCCTCACAACCTGGTGAATGAAGAAAACTAAACGCATTCCAAAGTGAATGCTATGTTTCCAGGGAAAGTGTTGAAAGGGTTCCTTTTAATCTTTCTTCCTTTCAAGAAAGGAAGGGCAGGAGAGACCCTGCCTACACATTGGGTCCTGCAAGCTCCAGCCAAGAGGTGGCGTTAAGGCACAGTTCTCTTACCAAAACCCCATTTTTTCCTCAAAACCTGTTTGAGCGGTAGTATGCCTGATGTCCAGAGATACACGAATCAGTTAAGGAAATGAAAAATACAGTATGGAATATCAAGGAATTCAAAGGGTCAGCAGTCTGAGTTTAGACTGGAAAACTGAAGCAATTTATGCCTTCAACAACCTTGCCTATCAGCGAGTTAGCTGATAACTCTGCAGGTCAGAATGTGTCTGTGCAAACAGGAACCAAGTGCTAGATACAGCTATTAAGTTAGACAATAGAAACTAGGTACTACTGTCTTAACCACGATGAAGCATATTTTTGGCACATACATGCCTTTTCAGAACACCATCATAAAAGAAGACAAGTGTTTCCAAACCAAACAAGTGGAGCCAGACCTATTTTCAAAACAAAACAAAATGAAGCTACTCACATTTAACACTGGTATGCAAACTCTTCGGTGCAGATGAATCAACAGCAGCTGTATTAACAAAAAGTAGGTTCAGTCCAATGAAACACTAGCATAATAAAAAATTATATCAAAATGTGTAGAGATGAAACTGATCATCCCTAAGGTGTTGAATTCCCTCTGGGAATATGATACTAAACTGCATAATATTAGCATTATTAATACTATACATCTACAGACGACCAAATCCTATTGTTTCCCTATTGATGTATACCATTTTCTTCCTATTTTCTTCTATTATCTTTGCCAATGGTCAGGTCTCAAAAGCTAGCATAGCTTAAATGTTGTCAGGTTAGTTGAGTTATACCAACTACAAGTATAATTGCAATGATATTAGATGAGGAATTGACCCCTTGTCTGGATCTGTGTAAAAACAAAACGTAAGTGCCTCAGCAGCGCTGTTACTGGTTCAGTATCAAATCTGTGTCTGAATTTTGTGGCTTTCAACCATCTCTACTTAGGTATAGAAATTAGACCCAGTACAGCTGCATTTATTAAACTTTATTTTAATTTACAATTTAAGAAAAGCTTTTCGTAATGGCACCTACTGCTGCCCAGAAAGTTGGCATTTCATGGATGAGTAGTACAGCTGCTATCAGGCAGGGGAAACTGCCAACTGATGCTCTGAGTGTGATTCAAATTGTCTTGAGGCTCAAGGTCATCAGTTTGTCATCATCTTTCTATCAAAAGGAGTTATTTGAATACACAATTACATAGGCAGTTTTGAACACCAAGTTTTCTGTTATTTGGTCATTTGGTTTTCATTGTAAAAGATTAAATGAAGTAAGCTTCAAGGAATCAAGCCCTGTCACTACTGCTGCACAGTCTTCATTAAGTCATGTGTCCATACAGAAGATGGTAAGGATGTTAATGGAACTCTATGTCAGATTGCATATCCCTGTATATAACTCAGGTACATGAGGAAATACTATTTTTGACTCTGGAGGGAAAAGCAATCACCTAGAAGCTCAATATTCCAGTTGCATTTGTAGGACACTGACTGAATTTCCATCTCTCACTTTTGTGATTTCTGTCAAATGTCACAGCAAACCAGAGTTTGTACAAGTGCTCCAAAGTTTCAGACATGCAGGGCTCGCTGCCATCTAGAGTGAGACCAAATAGGTTGTATTTTAAAAAGCAGTTGTATTCCAAAAATTAGAGAATATTTAGAAGGATACTGGAGAAGGCCTTTAGACAACCCTGACCAGATTTTTCAGAGGAAAGAAATTCTATAATCTCCTGTAAAGATGTACAGAACATGTGTCAAATCAGCATTTCAGAGCCTCAGGTAAGTACCTTGACATTCTTGCAATATCACAGGTTTTTATATGTATGCAGGAGTTAGCTCTACAAGGAAAACCTGTGTGAATGATGGACACTATAATATTGTGAAACACGTAAGAATTAGAAATTTTAGCCACTGAAAACTTTGATTAGCACCTACTGTGAGAAACTCCTTCCAGATTGAATTAATTCTGCTGCAGAGAAGCAGGACTGACATTTGAGAAAAAGAAAATTGAAACCTGTTTTGGAACAAAGCATTTGGCTCCTTTTATGCTAAGAATCTTTTGTGTGTATTTTCTTCTGAGCTTTAGGAATGTAATAGACAAAAAGACTGCAAAACATCTCTGTTAATTTTATTTTTTGATCTTTACTCCCTCATTTAGACATCACCTGTTGAGAATAAAATAAATTTCAATTCTATATGACAGTCTTTGCTGCTCTCAATTAGTCCTGGTGGTTCTGTATATTTATAAGCAATGCACTAGAAGATGAATTCTGCAGTCCCTGGAGTTCTCTGTTTCTATGATATTGGCCATGCAAAAGCAAAATCACTTAAGTACAAAAGTACAGAGCAGCAATCCAGCCTCCAGCTCCCAGTATGAGTGGGATGGTCATGAACCTTAGCATGGTGGAGGTCATCAATCTTTCAAAGAGTGGTTCTGATACCATGATAAAAAGATGTACTGTATTTGAGTCAGGTCATTTTAAGATGATGCATTTGGCACTGCAAATTGATGAAAAGGATTGATCTTCTGGCAAAAAACCAAAGCACCAACCTCATTTATTGTTCAACACCTATGTGTTATTATAAAGCTCCCTGCATGTGATCAGTGAATTGTTTGGTTAGAAAGCCTTGTGAGCCCAAGGGCTGGAAGTCTTGCAGTAACCTAATTACAGCTATGACCATTCAACTCCAGTTGTTTCATCTGCACCTGAAGCACCAGGAAGTTTACACAGCTCTAGGCAACTGACAAAGGACATTTTTTTTTAAAAATCCAAATTCTGTTTCTAGTGGTTTTCAGCTATTTGCAGGAGGGAGAGTATTTGAAGAGGCCTCAAGAACATAACTATATGTGGTTAATGGAACTTCCCTCTAGGTTACTTAGGACTAATACCATAATTTTCTAAACATCAAAAGATGTAACCTCACTGTTACTCTTCAATGGTTTCTTCCAATTAAACAAATACCTGCCCTACTGTTCTCATTTTACCCTTCCTTTTAGTCATCGGCCATATACATCTAAACAGAAATTATGAATAAAATAACACGGGGAAATTAAGCAATATTTCCCTTCCTAACACAAACCTGTCATTTTGACTCTATAAACTTTACATCTATAAACAGTTGGGGTTGCTTCTCCCCAGACAAAGTTACAGTTTCAATTGAGTGTTCTACATATCTCTTAAGGCACATCATGTTATACCTCACTTTTAAATTCTCCTACGCCTGTTGAGTTAGCGACGGAGAGAGGGAGGAAAGAAAGGGGAAGAAATTCAGAAGCCAGCCAAAAATAGGGACAACCAACATATCTTTGACTGTGATTTTATCTTTTACTTACAAAGATACTGTGGTAATTAAAGACTTGACGCACCTTTGGCAGACATCAGTTTCTTGAAATGAGCAGCCATGTGATCTTGAATGATGTACTGGCTGGAGAGTTTGCAGGAAGGTCCGGGAGAAAAAGCTGCGAGCCAGAAAAAGCTGAGTTTACTCAGTGGGGCAAGCAATGCTTCAGGTAATAATGGATCTGAAAATATTATAATATTTATCCTCTCCTACTTGCAATAAAATCAAGTCAACATGCATTCTTATATTTCAAAAAGTAAGAATAGCACAGAATGTAACATGAAAAAATGGTAAATTATTCTCAGTTTTCATTTTTTTGAATACCTGAGAATTATGGTTTGCAATAAGTAATGTATGAGCCTTTGATATTTTTGAACTCAAGAGAATAACAGAGGATCTCACATTTTAATATCTGATATAAATAAATAAATAAATATATATAAATAAATAAAAAAAATAAATCATTTTCTTTTTGAAAGATTTAATACCAGAGAGTCTTAAATAATAGTAGAGAGCATTAATGTTATTATTAATGCTAGATATTAATATTAGAGGATATTACAAAGTACTGCAAAAAACTGCACATTAATGTCTCACCTCTTGGTCATACCAGACCTAACTCTGGCACTCTACAGTTAGGAAAATGGACTGGATACAGACAAATACAGAATTCAGGCCAGAAAAGGAACCAGAACATGGAGCTGAAATGTGTTACACACAGACTGACCATAACACTCCTCTGAATCTCTAAATTGCAAGACTTCTCAGACTCAGAAGAATTTGTCTCTGTGTCTGACCTAAGTTCATTAACCCAGGAAAAAAAGTCAAGAAGTAGATAAACATTTACTTGTTTTAAATTTTAATGTGGCAGTGTGGCTGAGATAGATAATTTTCTTTCAATCTGTTTCCAAACAAAAATATTATTTCTTTCTCCAATCCTCTCAATTCCTAAACAGATAGGATTTGTAGATGGAAAGTTGCTAGCACATAATATTAAAAAATCAACAGAATACAGGAGATCAGAAACCTAATGTGCCTTTGGCTTTCCATCCATGGACCCAGAATGACCCTTACACTTGAGATAATCAGGTCATCCAACCTATTCAGATTTGGTTCTCTGAACCAAAAAAGTAACTGTTTGTTTCATTGTTCATGTCCCCAATGTACCATTTCAGTTAATAACTTAGTTTCATAGTTTTTAAAGTGTTTTGAAAAAATAGAAGACCTTGGGTTGAGAGTCTGGAAATCAGTCCTTCTAATCTCAGTTTGGCTGCATACTTGCTGTGTGCTTTCTCTTACCTAAATCTCTTTCCTACTAAGTGAGCCATTGCTACAAACTGTTTTTCACTGCCAAGGAGTTTGACTGCATTCAATTTATTGTGTTATCTTTTGAACTTTAAGAAAGAGCAGGACAGAACACCTGATGCTAGGTCTGTTGCTTCATTTAGTATTACTTCTTCATGTGCTCCTACAAGTAACTCAAAGCCTGCCAGAAGGGCACTGACATAAAGACTTGATTTCAGCAGTTTGTCCAGGAGCAGCAGGACATCCCAACATGACCAGCTGTAGAAAGGTACTGTTACTTCAGCTCCAGGACCATCCCTTTGATTGCTCATCACACCTGTTGGCACAGCCAGAGCATTCACATTGTGATGTAAGGAGGTGCAGAGACATCGACAGAAATAACGATTCTACGTTTGCTATAAAGCAATGGAGAACTTGGTGCGATATTATGACCAAACTGCATTTACCTTTTGTCTCAATTAAATTGAACATGAGTAGTACAGGTACCACAATGGAATCTAACATTTGAAGCAGACAAATACAAAGCTCACAGACTTTCTAATGATTAGCATTTACCATACGTCCAATTTCATTCAGGGAAACCACTCATGGGTGTCCATACTATGCTATAGAAATAAAATAGTTAAAATCAGTACTATTCTGTTTCAAAGCTTTTATGTGCTTGAGACCAGTAGTTGTTCGCTCCAAAACTTCTAAAACTTAATTTTTTTTTCATTAATTTTGCCAATTGTTCTGTAGCCTCCTGCTGGCAAAAGCAACTGGAACAAGCTCTTCAGTAATATACAGCACCATTCCTAGCTGGTGGAAAGTGGGGCAGCCCTCCTGAGTTCAAGGAATGGCAGTGCCCTAAATCACAGCAGCTAGAGGCTCTTGTCACTAAGGGAAAGAAAATAGATTTTGGTAAATGCCCCAAATCCTTCCCTGATTGGCAGTGACAAGCTGATTTAAATATATGCAGTGAAAAAGACAGCATGACAGAAGAACGAAGTGATAATCTAAACAATATCCAGAGATTAAAAAGGGATGGAAAATCCATTTATAAAAAGAACATTCTTCTCAAAATGAATAACCGCCCCAAATTTGAAATGCTAAAGATATACAAGGCACTAGTAGTTTAATCTAATTTTTGTCTCTCATAAAATCTAACTCTATCCTGTGTCCAGAAAATTACTAACATTGTGCAATAAGCAGCATTGTGGTTATTCCTATGTAAGGGAAAAAAAAAAAGCAAATTATTTTCTTTACCAGAGACTTTCTGTTGAACTTTGGTAAGTCATTTTGTGTTCTCGTGTCTTAATCTCTCTGAAAAGAGAACCTGAAAAAATACATCCCTTTCTCAAAGAAAAGGCTTTAAGGATAAAAAAAATGAAATGGTGAAACTTAAGGGGTTCCCAATTAAGTATCTCCCACTGTTAGAGAGGGTGATCTTATTTGAACTCGCTGGAAATTTCATATTTTTAGACAAATTTTTCTTATGCTTTCTTTGAGTAACTTCAAATTGAGGGAAATGGGAAATAGAAATTTTCTGGGAATTTTAAGTAGCCCTGTTATAAGGCTGATGGTGCAAACACACATCAGGTCGAATTGAAACAGCCCTTTGTGTGCTGTTATGACAGGCAATATTCTTAAGCCCATATTTGCACAGAATCCAAGTTTTGTATTTTCTGCTGCCTTACAAAGATCTCATTTACCTGCAACATTCAGCAAAATGCTTGATCTAAGCTTTCAACGTTTCAGAGTTTCAGCATTTTCTATATACAAGCACAGTTCTACATACAGAAAGTTGCCTGCTTCTGAAAATCTTTCCAAACTCTGATGACTATTGTCCGTTCAAGATATTCACATCTTGCTTCTACGTATGAGGAAAGATCTCCAGGAAACCAAGACCCAAGAGTGAGCAATAAAGAAGAGTGACAACTCTCTCAGTAGTGACTCTTTTTTATTTCCTACTTTGAAATTACTTTCTTAGCAATTTATTATGGTCCTGAATGTGTAGTTGTATGGTGACTAATTTACCTAGTTTCCACTGATTGAATTGCAAGAGATTACTTCTACAAATCATGTCCCGAAAATATATCATGTCTAGAGGTACAACATCATATCATAAATCTAGTCGTAGCAGTATTAAAGTTTTACTGATACACAATGACAGTGATAAAACACATCTTTTCCTGAAAAACAAAATATGCTTTTGAAAAACACGAGAGGTGACTTTGCTCCTCATCAGACTGCTGATTCAAAGCCGCTACTTTTTGCCTTACGGGAGTAAAAGCCTGTTCTCGCTAACATGCCAATTATTTTACTCTTTTAAAGACGAGTATAACTGCAGTGCTGTTATACTGCAAATAGTTTATAACATTCCGAATTGCTAATTCCTACGAGTGGAAGCGTTACAACATGGAGACAAAGCCATATGTACTTATAACCAAATAAAATATGGACTTATAACCAAATAAAAAACTGTTCAGGGATACTGAAGCCTCAAAAGCGTGGAAATATCCAATTCTTATCTACCCTTCACAGTATTGGAAGTGGGAACCATCTCTGCAACATCCTTGGATTTGCCTGTAGTAAACTGGCACTGCAAGGAAAGAGCTATCTTGTATATTACTGAGACATTAGCAATTAGCTAACAGCTAAGACATTAGCAATTATCATTAGCAGTAATTCACAGTTATGGTCCTGCAATCTGTTTGTGTCTGGCTACTTCCTCATCTTGTATTTAGACCCTAAATTTGGAGGGGAGAGGGGCCATCTCTTTGCTCAGTGTTTGTCTCATGCTTAACAGGGTAGAACACCTGCCCACCATGCAGGTAACAGAGTAACCACTGTGAAAGTCTCGAAGCAAAGTGACCCAGTGACTGGCTGACAAATGTTTTGCAACTCCTCTTACTTCGGTTCAGTTGCACAGTCATCTCAAGCTGCTCCCCTCCTGGTTAAGAATTTCTGCCTATTTTCAGCTACAGGAAGAACTGGCAGGCATTGAGCTCTGGCTTATGCTTTAAGCATCGAACAGAGGTTTCTCTGCTTCTGTTCCCTTCAGAAAATACATATATATCACTTCTAGAGGAAACCAACATGACAGGCTGCTGAGGTGAGGACGCAGTAGGTGTCCTCCTCATGGTCCTTTGGGGTTCTATTGAAAAGGTGGGAAGAGGAGGATGGTAGGACAATACCCTCTAGGCTCTGAAATGCAGAGGTGCCTATTTGAAGAGAGTGAAATGCCTCTGAGTGCAGCTGGGCTTCATCAAGGGACAGAAGAAGGCCAACAAGGACAAAAATGGTGGGCGGTGGTACCAGGTAGTAGTGGTGGTGTGTTTGCCAGCATTTAATTAAGGACTGAAACTATATTGGACCTGAAGAAGGTATAGTGGAACAGCATTTCTGAAAAGGGAAGTTTCAGGCAGAACAGATTTCCAGCAGTTCTTTTACAGGTGCTTGACAAAGATCCTGACAAGGAAAGCTGCTTGGCTAAACTAGAGAGCTAAGATTTTTGTAATAGCAGCTATTAGAAAGACTTATCTACTTTATACTGTTTCAATAATAAAATACATATTTTTAATAATCTCTTTATAGTCAAGCTGTTAGTTCAAAATTGGAGCACTTAGGCACCTTTCAAGTAATAATTTGAATACTTACGGCTACTTTTGAGACTCATGTGTCCTCTGAAAGGTCCCATCAAGGAGTAGGTAGGCACCATGGCTATCTGGGAGCCTTGGTAGGGAAGGAAAATGTATTTGTTACGTATCAATAATAGCACGGTCCTATGGGGATTAGAGAACAGTCACCTCCTGGCCAGAATGCCACACTACAACTGATACAGGTATGAACGGGCTGGCACTTTTGAGTTTACTTTCCCTGCCAGATCACTTCTGTTTGTTTTAATCCCTACCAATTAGTGGGACCCTTTTGACCAGATATTTTGAGAGAAAATACTCTACTACAACAGCATTAACAGGGCAATTTTCTACAGGCCACAAAAATGAGCCATGGCATTGTGCAAAGGTCACATATTTTGCAATCTGAAAGATCATCTCTGCTAAACATAAATCTTCAAGGCAAAAGAAGGAGTGGCTCAGTATGTTACTGTGCTGCTCATACCCAAGGGAAGCAGTGGGGAAAAAAAGCACAACGTTGAATATTTTCTAAAGATACCCTACAAAATAGGATAGGGTCACATAATAGTAGCCAAACCTAGAAAAGCCAGACTCAACACAACAAAGAAAGCAAACAAGCCCTCTCTCATTTCAAATTAAGGGCAAGTTGCAAGAAGACAAATTCCCATACACAGAATTCCACCAATTTTACGAAGATATGTCCCACTGCTAATAGATGAATTCATCTCACATGAGTAACAGGGTAAATTTTACAGCCAACAGGTAAAATTTAACAGCTGAAAAACCCTAGTCTCGATTTCCAAAGCCACACGGGTTCACAGGATTCAAACAGACACAGATTCATAGGAATGAAGATTTCAGTCCCTACCAATCCAATGGTATGGTTTTCAACACAATCATGTTCCTAACTCCCACTAAAATCAAGAATAAGGTGGTACCTTAATTTGCAAGTCTGATCATGGAGACTAAATGTCAGTCCTCATTTTTAACTTACTTTTAACTTAGTGAAATGATTCGTCTATATGCAAAAGTGCCAGCAATAATTTGAACTATAATTTAAATAAACTTTCATCGGTTTAAAAACTTATTTTGATTCATCTTAAACCTAATACTGGTTAATATGAAGCCAGCTAGTCACCACTGTAATGGGTGTACATAACCTTCACCAGATAAATCTTACCACTTTAAACCCCACACTTGGAAGTCCATGCTTCTTAAACAGATAAGTACAGATAAGTTCAACTGGCATACAGGAACCTAAAGTTCAGTAGCTTTATGCTCCAAAGGGTTGTCTGGCAGCAGAAGTTGCTTGATTGTGAACTTAGATTTGCCCGATTAGATCTGACAGTTGTAAAGGAAATATCTCCTAAGAGATGATCCTGAATGTCAAAGGACATACCGAGTGCCATCAGAACTAGAAAAATCAATACAATTCTTCCTTTGGTTTCAAGGCAATGTTGTAATTTGGGGGAGAAACCAGGAGTGTCTGACTCTCAAACAGTGAAATCTTTACTTTTGTTCTCATACATGTATTTCAGAATAACTTTTGGTTTCAAAGACACTGCTGCAAGTTCACAAACCATGTGTTTATACCTATAACCAAAACCTGAGAGCATAGACTTTAGAACTGATTACAGGTTTTGGATCTTCATTTGGTGACACTTGAAAAAGAGGTTGTTTTTTCAGAGTGCACTTCCAACTCATTCTGAAACTCAGGCCTCACCACTGGGAGCTTAGGTTTTGACAAAATCACCTGTCTGGGAGAGACTTCATAAAGATAAAGGATGCAGGTAACAGAGAGCATTATAACAATGTTCTGAGAAAACAGAATCTGGAATGATTATGAGCAGTGCTTTTTTTTTGTATCAGATTCTACCACCTTAGACTCAAAATAAAAACACTATGAAATAAATGGGAGCTGAGTAAACTTTATTGCTTTTCTTCTGTGCTCATATTTCTAATTGTCATGGGTCCTTAAGTTAATAAAATCATCAAAAGGTCAGATTTTTTCTTTTTTTTTTTTTTTTGGTGTCTTTTGAAAACATCCTTCTGTAGTCACAACAGGATATGGGCAAAGGAAGTTACTGCTCTCAAATCCAAGGTAACACATCAAAACATTTGGTTATTTTTTTAAATGTTATTTATTTATATAGATTCCTTAAGCAGTTTTAGTCATGTTTTGGAAAATAGTGGAAGTTAATCATAGCTTCATATATACTGGCTAAAGAATCACAGAATCACAGAATACACCAAGTTGGAAGGGACCCACAAGTTCCTCCCATCACTGAGTCCAACCCTTAGCCCTACACAGGACCATCCCCAAAAGTCACACTGTGTGCCCAAGAGTATTGTCCAAACACTTCCTGAACTCTGTCAGGCTTGGTGCTGTGATCACTTCCCTGGGGAGCCTGTTCCAGTGCCCAACCACCCTCTGGGTGAAGAACGTCTTTCTAATATCCAACCTAAACCTCTCCTGACACAACTTCAGGCCATTCCCTCAAGTCCTGTCCCTGGTCACCACAGAGAATGTAAAAATTTAAAGATTTAAAAGCAAACTAGTCTAACTTCATCTCACTGTATATTACTAATAATAATTTGGATTCTTTAATTTATTTTGAAATATAAATTATTCCTGGCTTAATCTTTATTTCTTTTAGCTTTTTCTTTTTATTTTTATGTCAAACATCTGTGAAAGGCATGACAGATAGAAGGATATTATATTGAAAAGAGCTCTTAATCATGTGCAACTTTAGAACAGAGAGTAATTCTTTATCTTCTTGTGTCCAATCCTTCCATTTTAGCTCAACAATTACCCCACTATGATTTGAAGTAGAAAAACATCAGTGGGAAACTGCTCTGAGAACAGATGAAGTGGAACAAACATGTATCAAAAATTGTAATTGTTTGAGCAAAGTACATTTAATTTAATAAGTGTGTGCTATGTGTAACACATGATGCAGGCACTAAACAGTTGTTATGATGGAACAAAGTCACAATAATGGCAGATCTTTAACTACCTAGTCCGTTACAGGAGCATTTTTTACAGCAGTTGACTCAAGCAATAATGTTGCTGCTGTTGTTTGAACTCTGGTGACTTCCTGAAGTCTCAATCAGATCACTGTCCCAAGCTCTGTACAAATAGTCAAGCACTCATTAACAGACCCAAAAAGTTTATAACTTTTGCAAACCAGATAACTAGCATTTGGGGGGAGGGAGGGGAAAAGCATTGTCTTCATTTTAGAGACCAAAAAAGGTTGTTTTGTCCATTGTAATACGATGAAAAGATTTAATGGCAGAGAAGTGCAACTTGATTTTCTGATCAGATCAGAGCCTGAACCTCAGGACATCTACTTTCAACTTTATCAAAATATCTAATATGTGGAATTTTCATTCTAATGAGAAGAAGCGATGCTTAGTTTCCGTTGCTGATTTAATTTCACTGGATTATAATAAATAAATTCAATTGGTTAGTGTTATACTTTGCTTTTTTACATCAATGCACAGTTCTTTTAACAGGAAATCCAGTCTGTAAATGATATGGAAAAAAACCAGGTCTTTCTTATGCCAGAGAGATAGATACTAAAATACTTCATGGGGAACTGTACCCATTGAATATAAACCACAGCACACCTAAAAAGGTGAAGTAAAGTGCCAAATGGAAGTTAGAGAGAAAAGAGATGCTTTTTTGCATTTTAAGTAATAACAATGCACAGATACAATCTGACATTGCTACTGGCATTCACAGAAGACATAAGACAGACTTTTTTTGAATATTTTGAATGATATACAGTGGAATAGATTAAAGCATACAGCTAAGCAGTATGCTTAGTGAGAGGATCATTCTCCAAAAACAAGGGGTTTGATTCTGTAGCTTTGTACTTGCCTCCAGTAAGCTGCTTGGAGCAGCATCAGCTCCAAGATTTGAGGGCTTTTGTGTGTTGAAAGATTTGGTTCCCAGTACAAAAGTTAGTGACAAACGATGTTTTTAAGAAGGTTCTAATGTCAGTCTAGTCTCCTGTGCTGTTATTCACCATTGAAAAAATATCCTCATTCACACGGTCAAACTTTAGGATTTATCACCACATACTATAGTGGGTTGAAAATTGGCCATACCTGAGGCTGTTCCCATTGACGTGATTATGGAAAATTTAGAATGGTTCTGAAACACAAACAGTTTTGATCATACATATTAAGCAATGGAATTTATGCTTGAAATAGGGCTTTTCTATTAATAGAGTAAGTTAGGGTAAAAAGGAATGGATCTTCATCCACACAGGAATACAGAACTATAGTGCCTCAGATATGCATATGGGATTTGGTGTTCAGACCTGATTAATAGATATGCATTATTTGTCAGCATCCTAAAATCCGAATTAATTTCCCAGTGGACTGGCATACTCTGGGTCCATATCTCAATACCTGCAGAAGCCTGAGTCCCTTGTCAGGCATCAGGTATGGAACCACTATTTGCAAACTTAATCCAGAATATAAAAACAAATCCAACTGGACTATTGTTTCTGCAGTACTTTAAAGCTGGACAAAACATTTGTAGAAAAACAGGATTTTTGTGGGCATAATTTGTTAGTTTGCCAAAACAGAAATATTTTGCAGCAAAGAAAAAGATTTCACTGAAATTCACAAATAAGGCCTGCAAGGAATCCTGCCAGCTGCAGGAAAGCAGGGGCTCCCAGGACTTACGGCTTCAAAGCAGTCATACCATATGGCCTCCCCTCTGTTTGCCAATCCAACACCTGCTTGTTTCCAGATACAACAACTTTGTGGAAGTAGCAGGGCCATCCTCTCACTCTTGTGAACCCAAAAGCTGCACGTCACATTTGGCCTTCCCATTGAGCAGGAAGAAACCTGAGACCTTTAAGAACTCATCTTATGCCCAGACTCTGAGTTCTGAAGCCCTGGGAGACCCTCCCCTGGGCTTCTTGGGACTCACTCAAATAGCTAAAAAATGTGAAAGCCCTGGGATTTGGGAACCTACCAGACAGAGCCTCCAGATTCAATTAATACACATTCTAATAAGGCACTATTTATTTTCCTTAATTTTGGACCTTCCTATGGAATAGTTCTG